AAATGGGTATAAAGTAAGATTCATGTGGATCCCTTCACATGTGGGAATACTGTTGAATGAGGTAGTTGATAAGATAGCGAAAAGAGCCAAGGAAAAAAATATCTTGTTGATGTTGTATGCCAGATAACCTTGAAGCAAATCAAAACAAGAATCAAGATGATCCAAGAGAGTAAAGAAATGGTAAAGAGAATGGCAATGGTGGACAGTAGTAACACACTTAAGAATTATTCAATAATAAATACAAACTCGTCCTTCACCTATGGTAGAGGAAAGTCTACTTGGAAGGATTCAATTTACATGAGATTAAGATTAGGATACAAATATATCTGGCAATACGGTGTTGATGTCAGTGAAAAAGATAAGGAGTGTAAATTATATAGTATGCCGCACGCCCACACCTTAGAACATTATGTATTAGAGTGTCAACTTATTGATAACTATAGAAATAAGGAAATAAGTAGTGTACCACATCAAATTGTTTGGATGTGTGATAATGGTATGATAGACAGAATACTTAGGAGCTACAAGAATTTTGCCCCAAGAGGGTAACACTTATATGCTGTGCTTATTATATTAACCTGCAATGTTAAATGGGATTCTTGTACTGTATTGTGATTTGTGTATTTATATTCACTGAATTTGTGCGCCCCTTGAAGGACTTGAAGTGGAGGAGGGTAGAAATAGCCTAAGCAACTCAATCCCTTTGAGATGTATTTTTTTCTTGTCTCAATAAACTTAATTGAACTTGAACGTGAACCTCAAAACCTTACATTTGTCAGCATTAAACTTCATCTGCCAATCTTTTGACCACTTCAAAGCGCTATTTAGATCGTCTTGAAGTGATAGTGAGTCTTTTCCTGTGTGTATTTCCCTCCCGATTTTTGTATCGTCGGCAAATTTGCAAATATTGCTGCTCAAACATTGAGATGCTCCTTCATCTACAGGGCTATAAACCCATGAAACCGCCTACCCGCCGAAGCCGTAGACGTCAAAACCTTTGTTAACTTTTAAAGTACAACTGGAAAAGATCATCAAGGCAAATGGAGGGGACCTTCGACCAGCCGCCGGCTTCCTGTCCTCGTCGAGGACACTAGTGTTAGTGGCTTTCAGGTAAACTCAGGTATATGCCTTACCGTTCGGATACAAAAAATTTGCCTAAGAGCAGAGCCACCAACACTAGTGGTCTCGACGAGGGCAGGAAGCCGGCGGCTTGTCAAAGGTCCCTCCCATTTGCCTTGATCTTTTCCAGTTGAATTTTAAAATTTAACCACGTATGTGATGCACAATAAACTACGGCTCACAGGATGAGTATGGGGTGCACAGCATATAAATTATCGATCACAGGATGAGTATGGGGGTACACAGTAAATTACCGCGCACAAAATTAGTATGGGGTTCACAATTAACTACCATGCACTCACAGAATGAATATGAGGACTACAATAAACTACCGCTCACGGAATGTACTGATTTCAGGATAATCAAACAATTGATGACTCCAACGCGCCTCTATTATTAATTTAATAAAAAAAAAACAGGCATCTTCATGATGCCAATATCAGTGTACTCGCGAATGAAGACTCCAGGGAAGTAGAAATAGCCTAAGCTACTCTATCCCTTTGAGATGTACTTTTTCTTGTCTCAATAAACATACTTGAACTTAAAGACTCCACATATCCTACTTTTATATCCATAACCACTGGAGCCATCACAATACACATGCCGATTTTTTTTTAATTTAGTTATTATTCTATTTTTACCTTCACCTGTCCTGCTGTCTCGTTACATACCATTTTTCTTCTGCCAGTTCAACAATCACCGCCTTTGTCTTACATTTCTCGCAGAGTTATCTTGAGATGATTTCGGGGCGTAGCGTCCCCGCGGCCCAGTCGAGTCTCCTTTTTGTTACACACCCGGTACCTAATTACTGCTAGGTGAACAGGTGCATCAGGATGAAAGAAAATCTGGCCATTTGTTTCCGCCTCCACCGGGGATCAAACCCGGAACCACAGGACTACGAATCCCGAGCGCTGTCTACTCAGCTGTCAGGGCCTTGTTTGGTGCCAATTTTTACCTAGGTAATGATATATATTTTGTAATCTTGGGAAATAAAGTTCTTATTTATCATCTCTTGTTATACTTTTAAATACATTATTCGTTTTTGTTCATAAATTGAATTATTTACTTCCACCTTTTATACTGAATTCATCAGTTAATTATAGCTTCTCCACCTCTCATATTAGTCTAATCGCCGAAGCTACATTTATCTCAGAAACCATTCCTAAATACTATGTAAGTGTAATTCCATCCTCATTATCCCTATCGTGGCATTTCTCGGGCATCCTAAAATTATTTGCATGGCTTCGTTGTGAACGTTCTCCAACTTGTGTACCTTAACCAACACAAGCAACGACATGTCAATCATCCAATGATTGTTTAAGCTCCATACATTGTTTCATCAAAACTTTCTGTTCCTCCTGCAACTCTTTCATGGCCTTGTGACCCTCAAGCAGACATGTGCAGCATAATAGATACCAGACGTCACAGTATTGTAATTATGTATGTCATGCACAGCACAGGGACGCCCACTCCTTTCCCTCAATATTTACCTGAGGGACACTCTCTCTCTCTCTACAATGGCTTCGATGGCGACAGGAAGCCGGCGGCTTTTCAAAGTCTCCCCCCCCCCTTCATTCTTCCCGAGGAATTTTTCTATTTATATTGTAAGTTGAAGTAATGTCTTGGCATTTACAACTTGTGCGGGTAGACGGCGTCAAGAGACTATACCGACTTTTGTTATTGTTTTATGGAACAGATGATACTCATAAATATTTACTTTTTTCACGATCATTAAGTCCAATATTATAACTATTATCACGTGTTAAATTTAATATTATCATTCTAATCCTGTCCTTGCCGGGGCCACTATTATGACCTCCAGGTAAATTCAGGTAAATATGGTTCACCTTTTAGGGTTTCCCATAGTCGGGCTCAGTTAGGCCTATCGAGATCTCCCTAAGACAGCCACCGATGACTACAGGATGCAACCTATAACAGTTGCCTAAGTCCCGGGTACCTATTTACTACTGTAGGTGAACTGATGCGTCAGGTAAAAGGAAACAGCCCAACAGTCGGGGATTGAACTCGATCTTTGGTTATGAGCAGAGTGCGTAGACAACTGCGCTACGGGGCCCACACGGCTATTCTCAGCATATTTCCCTTGTTCTTGCAATTAATTTCTACATAATCAGTGTATTATAAATCTTTAAATAATTAGAACAAAAAACATTATTTTGCTCAATTACTTTTGTTGTTAGCGTTCTCGATTGAGAGTCGAGAACGCCAAATTCAATTAATAACCCGACAAATTGCCTTCCCGCCGAAGCTATAAATGCCAAACCCACAAGAGTTGCCTTTTCCTCAGGACTCTATTTACTGCTTAGTGAACAAAGGCATCAGTTGTAATGAATAGTGACCTTAGGCCACGCTCTGCCCGGAAATCGAATTCGAGTCCAATCGGTTGTGTGCCAAATATGCTGATTATTGCGCTACAGAAATAAAAATTGTATATACAACCAGCACATTGTGCCTGTGCTTGTGCCAAGTTACTCCAATGAGTACATGTTCCGAGGTTTCTCTAGTGAGAATATGTTCCGAGGTTTCTCTAGTGAGAATATGTTCCAAGGTTTCTCTAGTGAGAATATGTTCCGAGGTTTCTCTAGTGAGAATATGTTCCGAGGTTTCTCTAGTGAGAATATGTTCCAAGGTTTCTCTAGTGAGAATATGTTCCGAGGTTTCTCTAGTGAGAATATGTTCCGAGGTTTCTCTAGTGATAATATGTTCCAAGGTTTCTCTAGTGAGAATATGTTCCGAGGTTTCTCTAGTGAGAATATGTTCCGAGGTTTCTCTAGTGAGAATATGTTCCGAGGTTTCTCTAGTGAGAAAATGTTCCAAGGTCTTACCAATAAGTATATGTTCCAGGGTTTCTCTAGTGAGTACATGTTCCAAGGTTTCTCTAGTGAGTATATGTCCCAAGGTTTCTCTAGTGAGTATATGTTCCAAGGTTTCTCTAGTGAGTATATGTCCCAAGGTTTCTCTAGTGAGAATATGTTCCAAGGTTTCTCTAGTGAGCATATGTCCCAAGGTTTCTCTAGTGAGAATATGTTCCAAGGTTTCTGTAGTGAGAATATGTTCCAAGGTTTCTCCAGTGAGAATATGTTCCAAGGTTTCTGTAGTGAGTATATATTCCAAGGTTTCTCCAGTGAGAATATGTTCCAAGGTTTCTGTAGTGAGTATATGTTCCAAGGTTTCTGTAGTGAGTATATGTCCCAAGGTTTCTCTAGTAAGAATATGTCCCAAGGTTTCTCTAGTGAATATATGTTCCAAGGTTTCTCAAGTGAATATATGTTCCAAGGTTTCTCTAGTGAGTATATGTCCCAAGGTTTCTCTAGTGAATATATGTTCCAAGGTTTCTCTAGTGAATATATGTTCCAAGTTGACCAGACCACACACTAGAAGTTGAAGGGACGACGACGTTTCGGTCCGTACTGGACCATTCTCAAGTCGATTCAATCGACTTGAGAATGGTCCAGGACGAAGAGAATGTTCCAGGAGAAACCTTGGAACATTTACTCATTGTAGAAACCTTGGAACATATTCATTGGACCATACCAATGTATGGTATGGTCCAATGTTCCAAGTCGATTCAATCGACTTGAGAATGGTCCAGGACGGACCGAAACGTTGTCGTCCCTTCAACTTCTAGTGTGTGGTCTGGTCAACATACTTCAGCCACGTTATTGTGACTCATCGCCTGCATATGTTCCAAGGTTTCTCTAGTGAGTACATGTCCCAAGGTTTCTATAGCGAGAATATGTTCCAAGGTTTCTCTAGTGAGAATATGTTCCAAGGTTTCTCCAATGAGTAAATGTTCCAAGGTTTCTCCAATGAGTAAATGTTCCAAGGTTTCTCCAATGAGTAAATGTTTCAAGGTTTCTCCAATGAGTATATGTTCCAAGGTTTCTCCAATGAGTAAATGTTCCAAGGTTTCTCCAATGAGTAAATGTTCCAAGGTTTCTCCAATGAGTAAATGTTCCAAGGTTTCTCCAATGAGTAAATGTTCCAAGGTTTCTCCAATGAGTAAATGTTCCAAGGTTTCTCCAATGAGTAAATGTTCCAAGGTTTCTCCAATGAGTAAATGTTCCAAGGTTTCCCCAATGAGTAAATGTTCCAAGGTGTCTCCAATGAGTAAATGTTCCAAGGTTTCTCCAATGAGTAAATGTTCCAAGGTTTCTCCAATGAGTAAATGTTCCAAGGTTTCTCCAATGAGTAAATGTTCCAAGGTTTCTCCAATGAGTAAATGTTCCAAGGTTTCTCCAATGAGTAAATGTTCCAAGGTTTCTCCAATGAGTAAATGTTCCAAGGTTTCTCCAATGAGTAAATGTTCCAAGGTTTCTCCAATGAGTAAATGTTCCAAGGTTTCTCCAATGAGTAAATGTTCCAAGGTTTCTCCAATGAGTAAATGTTCCAAGGTTTCTCCAATGAGTAAATGTTCCAAGGTTTCTCCAATGAGTAAATGTTCCAAGGTTTCTCCAATGAGTAAATGTTCCAAGGTTTCTCCAGTGAGTAAATGTTCCAAGGTTTCTCCAATGAGTAAATGTTCCAAGGTTTCTCCAGTGAGTAAATGTTCCAAGGTTTCTCCAATGAGTAAATGTCCCAAGGTTTCTCTCGTAAGTATATGGTCCAAGGTTTCTCCAATGAGTATATGTTGCAAGGTTTCTCTAATGAGTATATGTTCTGAGGTTTCTCCAATGAGTATATGTACCAAGGTTTCTCTAATGAGTATATGTTCTGAGGTTTCTCCAATGAGTAAATGCTCCAAGGTTTCTCCAATGAGTACATGTTCCAAGGCTTCTCTGGTGAGTATATGATCCAAGGTTTCTCCAATGAGTAAATGTTCCAAGGTTTCTCCAATGAGTAAATGTTCCATGGTTTCTTCAATGAGTATATGTTCCAAGGTTTTTCCAATGAGTAAATGTTCCAAGGTTTCTTCAACGAGTATATGTTCCAAGGTTTCTCCAATGAGTAATTGTTCCAAGGTTTCTCCAATGAATAAATGTTCCAAGGTTTCTCTAGTGAGTGTATGTTCCAAGGTTTCTCCAATGAGTAAATGTTCCAAGGTTTCTTCAATGAGTACATGTTCCAAGGTTTCTCCAATGAGTATATGTTCCAAGGTTTCTCTAATGAGTAAATGTTCCAAGGTTTCTCCAATGAGTAAATGTTCCAAGGTTTCTCCAGTGAGTAAATATTCCAAGATTTCTCCAATGAGAAAATGTTCCAAGGTTTCTCCAATGAGTACATGTTCCAAGGCTTCTCTGGTGAGTATATGATCCAAGGTTTCTCCAATGAGTAATGTTCCAAGGTTTCTCTAATGAATATATGTTCCATGGTTTCTCCAATGAGTAAATGTTCCAAGGTTTCTCTAGTGAGTGTATGTTCCAAGGTTTCTCCAATGAGTAAATGTTCCAAGGTTTCTCCAATGAGTAAATGTTTCAAGGTTTCTCCCATGAGTAAATGTTCCAAGGTTTCTCCAATGAGTAAATGTTCCAAGGTTTCTCCAATGAGTAAATGTTCCAAGGTTTCTCCAATGAGTAAATGTCCCAAGGTTTCTCTAGTGAGTATATGTTCCAAGGTTTCTCTAGTGAGTATATGTTCCAAGGTTTCTTCAATGAGTATATGTTCCAAGGTTTCTCTAATGAGTATAAGTTCTGAGGTTTCTCCAATGAGTATATGTTCCAAGGTTTCTCTAGTGAATATATGATCCAAGATTTCTCCAATGAGTAAATGTTCCAAGGTTTCTTCAATGAGTATATGTTCCAAGGTTTTTCCAATGAGTAAATGTTCCAAGGTTTCTTCAACGAGTATATGTTCCAAGGTTTCTCCAATGAGAATTGTTCCAAGGTTTCTCCAATGAATAAATGTTCCAAGGTTTCTCTAGTGAGTGTATGTTCCAAGGTTTCTCCAATGAGTAAATGTTCCAAGGTTTCTCCAATGAGTAAATGTTCCAAGGTTTCTTCAACGAGTATATGTTCCAAGGTTTCTCCAATGAGAATTGTTCCAAGGTTTCTCCAATGAATAAATGTTCCAAGGTTTCTCTAGTGAGTGTATGTTCCAAGGTTTCTCCAATGAGTAAATGTTCCAAGGTTTCTCCAATGAGTAAATGTTCCAAGGTTTCTCCAATGAGTAAATGTTCCAAGGTTTCTCCAATGAGTAAATGTTCCAAGGTTTCTCCAATGAGTAAATGTTCCAAGGTTTCTCCAATGAGTACATGTTCCAAGGCTTCTCTGGTGAGTATATGATCCAAGGTTTCTCCAATGAGTAATGTTCCAAGGTTTCTCTAATGAATATATGTTTCATGGTTTCTCCAATGAGTAAATGTTCCAAGGTTTCTCTAGTGAGTGTATGTTCCAAGGTTTCTCCAATGAGTAAATGTTCCAAGGTTTCTCCAATGAGTAAATGTTCCAAGGTTTCTCCAATGAGTAAATGTTCCAAGGTTTCTCCAATGAGTAAATGTCCCAAGGTTTCTCTAGTGAGTATATGTTCCAAGGTTTCTCTAGTGAGTATATGTTCCAAGGTTTCTCTAGTGAGCATATGTTCCAAGGTTTCTCTAGTGAGTATATGTTCCAAGGTTTCTCCAATGAGTATATGTTCCAAGGTTTCTCTAATGAGTATAAGTTCTGAGGTTTCTCCAATGAGTATATGTTCCAAGGTTTCTCTAGTGAATGTATGATCCAAGGTTTCTCCAATGAGTAAATGTTCCAAGGTTTCTCCAATGAGTAAATGTTCCAAGGTTTCTCCAATGAGTAAATATTCCAAGGTTTCTCCAATGAGTAAATGTTCCAAGGTTTCTCCAATGAGTACATGTTCCAAGGCTTCTCTGGTGAGAATATGTTCCAAGGATTCTCTAATGAGTATATGTTCCGAGGTTTCTCCAATGAGTAAATGTTCCAAGGTTTCTCCAATGAGTAAATGTTCTAAGGTTTCTCCAATGAGTAAATGTTCCAAGGTTTCTCCAATGAGTACATGTTCCAAGGCTTCTCTGGTGAGTATATGATCCAAGGTTTCTCGAATGAGTGAATGTTCAAAGGTTTCTCCAATGAGTACATGTTCCAAGGTTTTTCCAATGAGTAAATGTTCCAAGGTTTCTCCAATGAGTAAATGTTCCAAGGTTTCTCCAATGAGTAAATGTTCCAAGGTTTCTCCAATGAGTAAATGTTCCAAGGTTTCTCCAATGAGTACATGTTCCAAGGCTTCTCTGGTGAGTATATGATCCAAGGTTTCTCCAATGAGTAATGTTCCAAGGTTTCTCTAATGAATATATGTTTCATGGTTTCTCCAATGAGTAAATGTTCCAAGGTTTCTCCAATGAGTAAATGTTCCAAGGTTTCTCCAATGAGTAAATGTTCCAAGGTTTCTCCAATGAGTAAATGTTCCAAGGTTTCTCCAATGAGTAAATGTCCCAAGGTTTCTCTAGTGAGTATATGTTCCAAGGTTTCTCTAGTGAGTATATGTTCCAAGGTTTCTCTAGTGAGCATATGTTCCAAGGTTTCTCTAGTGAGTATATGTTCCAAGGTTTCTCCAATGAGTATATGTTCCAAGGTTTCTCTAATGAGTATAAGTTCTGAGGTTTCTCCAATGAGTATATGTTCCAAGGTTTCTCTAGTGAATATATGATCCAAGGTTTCTCCAATGAGTAAATGTTCCAAGGTTTCTCCAATGAGTAAATGTTCCAAGGTTTCTCCAATGAGTAAATATTCCAAGGTTTCTCCAATGAGTAAATGTTCCAAGGTTTCTCCAATGAGTACATGTTCCAAGGCTTCTCTGGTGAGAATATGTTCCAAGGATTCTCTAATGAGTATATGTTCCGAGGTTTCTCCAATGAGTAAATGTTCCAAGGTTTCTCCAATGAGTAAATGTTCTAAGGTTTCTCCAATGAGTAAATGTTCCAAGGTTTCTCCAATGAGTACATGTTCCAAGGCTTCTCTGGTGAGTATATGATCCAAGGTTTCTCGAATGAGTGAATGTTCCAAGGTTTCTCCAATGAGTACATGTTCCAAGGTTTTTCCAATGAGTAAATGTTCTAAGGTTTCTCCAATGAGTAAATGTTCCAAGGTTTCTTCAACAAGTATATGTTCCAAGGTTTCTCCAGTGAGTAATTGTTCCAAGGTTTCTCCAATGAATAAATGTTCCAAGGTTTCTCCAAGGAGTAAATGTTCCATGGTTTCTCCAATGAGTATATGTTCCAAAGTTTTTCCAATGAGTAAATGTTCCAAGGTTTCTCCAATGAGTAAATGTCTCAAAGTTTCTCGTGAGTTTATGTTCCAAAATTTCTCCAATGAGTAAAAGTTCAAAGATTTCTTCAATGAGTACATGTTCGAAGGTTTCTCCAATGAGTAAATGTCCCAAGATTTCTCTAGTGATTATATGTTCCAAGGTTTCTCTAGTGATTATATGTTCCAAGGTTTATCAAGTGAGTATATGTTCCATGATTTCTCAAGTGAGTATATGTTCCAAGGTTTCTCCAATGAGTAAATGTTACAAGGTTTCTTCAATGAGTACATGTTCCAAGGTTTCTCCAATGAGTATATGTTCCAAGGGATCTGTAGACATTGTATGTGCCAAGGTTTCTCTTGTGATTACATGTTCCAAGGTTTCTCTAGTGAGTACTTGTTCCAAGGTTTCTCTAGTGAGTACATGTTCCTAGGTTTCTCTATTGAGAGTCTGTTCCAAGGTTTCTCTAGCGAGTATATAATCCAAGGTTTTCTCAAATTAGTATATGTTTCAAGGTTTCTCCAATGAGTATATATTCCATGGTTCCTCCAATGAGTATATATTTCGAAGATTCTCCAATGAACATATGTTCCAAGTAATTATCAAAAGAAGGCACCAAGCAGGGAAGTACATGTTCCAAGGTTTCCCCAATGAGTATATATTCCAAGGTTTCTCCAATGAACAATTTTTCAAGGTTTCTCAAAGGAGTATATATTCCAAGGTTTCTCAAATTAGTATATGTTGCAAGGTTTCTCTAGTGTGTGTTGCAAGATTGCTATAATGTATATGTTGCAAGGTTTCTATAGTATGATTATTTCAAAGTAGCAAAAGTTTGTTAAAACATCCAGCCTGATATCTGGACAAATTGGGAAGACCTTTGGCAAGCAGCTGGTTTCCTGTTTTAGTCAATGCCACTAGAGTAAATTCAGGTAATTTAATGTTTGTTTTTCTTGACAAAGAAAGAAAGAAAGAAAGAGAGAGAGAGAGAGAGAGAGAGAGAGAGAGAGAGAGAGAGAGAGAGAGAGAGAGAGAGAGAGAGAGAGAGAGAGAGAGAGAGAGAGAGAGAGAGAGAGGAGAGAGAGAGAGAGAGAGAGAGAGAGAGAGAGAGAGAGAGAGGAGAGAGAGAGAGAGAGAGAGAGAGAGAGAGAGAGAGAGAGAGAGAGAGAGAGAGAGAGAGAGAGAGAGAGAGAGAGAGAGAGAGAGAGAGAGAGAGAGAGAGAGAGAGAGAGAGAGGAGAGAGAGAGGAGAGAGAGAGAGAGAGAGAGAGAGAGAGAGAGAGAGAGAGAGAGAGAGAGAGAGAGAGAGAGAGAGAGAGAGAGAGAGAGAGAGAGAGAGAGAGAGAGAGAGAGAGAGAGAGAGAGAGAGAGAGAGAGAGAGAGAGAGAGAGAGAGAGAGAGAGAGAGAGAGAGAGAGAGAGAGAGAGGAGAGAGAGGAGAGAGAGAGAGAGAGAGAGAGAGAGAGAGAGAGAGAGAGAGAGAGAGAGAGAGAGAGAGAGAGAGAGAGAGAGAGAGAGAGAGAGAGAGAGAGAGAGAGAGAGAGAGAGAGAGAGAGAGAGAGAGGGGGAGGGAGGGGAGAGAGGGGGGGGGGAGGAGGAGGAATTAATTATCAAAGAGGGCGCCAAGCCGATGAGACTATGTAAAGAGAGAGGAATAGATGGGGGGGGGGGGGGGAGAAAGTAGTGTGGCTGGAGTTAATTAGTTGCAGATTTTGTAGCTGCCAGAGTGAATGTGGGTAATAGGTATCATATACTGTACGTACATTTACTGTATTGTGTGTGAACTAGATGTTAATGGTGAAGCATTGGATGTAGTTTGTTTAAATATAGTACCTGGAATGTTTGGTAGATGAGGAATTTATGCAAATTAAGTTCAAAGTATACAAGTTGGGGGGGGGGGGGGAATATTTATTTCAACGAGAACCCTGAAAAGAAAGATATAGATATTACCTATTAAAGATAAATATTACCTACTCTATTCCTTATATAGGAATAGAGTAGGTAATTGATTCAGCTGAACCACACTGAACTTTTCATTTTACCTTAATCTACCACCGAAGTATGTAGAAGTGCAGTCCCCATGGCACAGTGGTAAAGCACTTGCCCAGTGCTTCATGAGCACTTTGGTGTGGGTTCGTATCCTGGCTGGGAAGGATTAACTGGGCACCAATCCTTAACTGTAGCCTCTGTTCACCAAGCAGTGAATGGGTACCGGGTTGCTAAACGATTTGGCGGGTTGGGGAAATTTAGCATCAAGGACCTGCCCGAAATGCTATGCATGCTAATGGCTTTACAAGACTAAGAACTCTTTCTTGCACAAAAAGAAAAAAAAAAAACATACACACAGTATATATATGTTACCCCTCACCTGCAATTTTTGGCAGACTTGACTAAGATGAAGGTAAATGGAGATTGCATACACTGCAAACAGGTGGTAAACGGTGAGCCTTAGTGTTATGCTCTTCATTTTAGGCTAGAAGAGAAGCTTCATAAGCCACCTTCAACTGTTCTCTGGATCATTAAAACACTTCAGCCCTCCTCTCCATATTAAGGTACCTTCTACAAAAGGAAAGAGAAGACATGCAGACGATGAGTCACAATAATGTGGCTTAAAATAAGACTAAACCACACACCCGAAAATTTGGAGACGACAATGTTTCCGCCTGTCCTGGACCATTATCAATTCAAAATGTCGTCGTCTCCTCATTTTCTGGTGTGATTTAGTCTTCAGAGAAGACATGTTTCAGAAAAAAGTGTGTTGACATGTCTCGGTTGCAAAAATATTTACCTGAATTTACCAGAGGCCCACTACGTCTTTAGTGGTCTCAGCAAGGACAGGAAGCTGGCATTTTGTCAAAAGTCCCGCCATTATTCCCAAGCACTTTTTTCAATCTGGATGTTGAACCAAGGCATTTATGGCTTTGGTGGGTAGGTGGTTCCATGGATTTATAACCATATGGGTAAAAAATAATTGATTTTTCCTACATTATAGCTTGAAGCTGTTACCTCTTTGTATTGTTGCATTTGATCTTTTAAGAAGTTGTCTTGAAAATATCTTTCAACTTGTCCAGTATTTTAAAAGACCTTCATTATTTTACCTTTCTTTCCTCTTAACTTTCTCCAAAAGCAGGTACTTTGTCCTTTTCAAAGGTGAGGTCTCCATACTTTGATACAAGATGGAGGCGCACCAGAAACTTGTACAATTTAATAATCACTTCTTTTTCCTTCAAGTCAAAGATTTGTTAATTAGTCCTAAGGTTTAGATGACCAATTTTGTGTTTTTACTACAACTCCTACTTTTGTGCAACTTTCAATAAATGGTGGACTCTAACACCCTACACAGAGTTGTGAAGAATGCACTCTGCAGAACATTTGTCCTAACTAAAGATAGATAAATAAAATTTTACATCTGAGAGCCAGAACAACGTTTTTAATATAATGCACATAAATATATAGAATGCCTTTATATAACAAAGGCAATTCATAAAGGATCTGTAATATCAGGTTGAAAATGTACATTATACTTTCCAAGTATGAAAAAAATTAAAATTAAGACATTAAAAAAAAAAAAAAAAAAAAATCGCCTCAATAAATATGGTTCTGTACACCTTAAGAACTATACTGTACAGCAGTACTGGTACTACACAGTTAAATCGATATACTATTAACAACTACAAGCTGCCTTCTTTATACAGCCTAAAATTATGAAGTAGCTATTGTACCCAACATCAACAACTTTTATAATAGTCTAACAACATTACCAAAGAGAGGCATTATGGATCTTAGCTGTCAGGCTGTCTAAGAACGTCTTGCAAATAAATGTTTCCAATACAAATAATTTTCTGGCAATGCAATGTTAGAAATAGACATAATAACTTAAGAGCTTGGAAAAATATTATATTTACAATAATTATGTCTAAAAATAAGGGCTTACGTTACTTAAAAAAAAAATCTCTAGGTGACCTCTCATTCGCTCCCCATGCTAAGGGTCTGTGTCCACTCAGGGCACCTGAGAATTGTGTCAGGCTCTCTCAATCTGAGGGGCCCAATAGGACAAGTGCCTTTTCAAACACTGTAGTTTTCCTATGAATTGCAGGGCAAAGCCAGGGCAAAGAAGCTTAAATCATCTGCCACGGAGACTACTTGCTATTACAAGAGAGCAGGAACAGTATGAACTTTTTATTTTTTCATGAAATAAGTGGGAAACACACGAAACAGCAGTCAAATCTCTGCAGCCTACTCAAATCCAGCTCATTTATTATACCACCCCCCAACTAGATGGCAGCAGTGCCGCTACAAGATGACAGTACAATTTCCTTGGTGGGGGATTGAATAATATTTCTTCTCTGCAAGTGACAAGGAAGGGGGATGGGGGAGGACAACTTGTATAGACACTTGTCCCTGTGGGGCACTAGTCAATAAAGCCTAGTGTAATTTTCAGTGGCTTGGGCAGGAACAGATCTGTGGCTCGGAAAGTGACAGAGGAAGGTCTTGCTTAAAAGGTTCATTATCTATACAGGAGTATGTACATGTTTCAGATAAAATATCCGACATCAAATGGGAACAAGTTGATTTTGTATAAATAACACCCACTTTTATGCTCATACCTGGCTCAAGAAGTTATGAATGGGCATTTTCTACATGTGCCAAAGCATTTATTGTACTGTAGTGTTAAAGAAAAAAAAAGCAATAATGTCAGCTTCAGAGATAATACAAATTATCTTTCCTTAAAAGTGGTCTCATTACAGCAAAATATTCCTTTAACTCTGATTTTGACAGCTACCACATTAAGTAAGATTTTAAAAAATATATTACATACATTTAAGAACACTATCTAATGACAGGATTTAAAAGAAGTTAATTTGTAATTATTTTTACCATGTAGTTCAGTTATGAACTTTGTTTTATAAAATCTTCGCTTTAATAACTTCCTATACACACTACATTCATGAGGTTTGTACAATCTGGGGACGCCGAGCAAGAATGGATTCTTTACCATAGCGTCTTTGTGCCTCGGCTAAAAAGGAATTTACGTTTTTCCGCACAACTTCACTGAAGAACACATGAGCCATTTGAGAATGTAGTATTGACCGGAACTCAAATGACACCGAGAAGTCAAGCGTGCAAGTATCAGGCTGAAAAAAACAAAAAAACAAAGAACTATATTAACACTACAGTACAGTAGTTATGAAATTCAATGGCTGTTATAACTACTTTAAATAAAACTAGAAAGAGCAAAAGCATACTTTAACAATTATCTCTCGTAAGTTTTTACATTTCTGTTTAGGTTGAACGTAAATTAAGAATAATTGTGATACAGTATTCACATGATTTAAGGCCCTCTGATTAAGTGTTCAGCTAGATTTAATAGTCAGTTTTGTGACCAGCATCTGATCCTCATTTACTGAGTGAACACCCAGTAAAGGTGGATTATGGTTGCTATTAAATTTACCTAGCTTGCCACTAACTAAACAGGCACCCATTATTGGGTTTGTTGTTACACAACAAGAGCAAAGTTAGGACAATACTTTTCACAACGTTTTCACGGAGAGGGTGAGAGAATGTACCTGTGTTTTTCTGGAGTGACCGTGGAAAAGTACCAGTGCTTTAATTTGTTTTTCAATGGTCCATTTTTATTATTAACACTTTCGCGCTTTAGATTAGAGATAACTCGTCGCCGTTTTTTCTTACGATTCCGCATAACAGCCTACTTTTCTCGTCCATCGAAAAAATATTTCTATAAATTCCATTTTTTAACCGAAATGGATGGGGATACTCTCAGATTATATACGTTTTGTAGAGAATTTATTTGCGAATTTTTTGGTACCAGAATGAATATTATATCACATAAACTTCTATGAGTAAAAAAAAAAATACACAAAGTATGTTTGGGGGTCTGGCGAGCGTGTGGCAGTGGGTTCCCTTTAGCCGTTGATATATCCAACACGTGGGAAATATTTGTATGTGTTATGTATATGTCTGTGTAGGGAATTTTACTGCGATCACTGTCATACAAATTATAAAATGTTTCAACAAGTATAAACATGACAAACATCAAACGAACGAAAACAATGCGTTCGTTTCTGCCGCGAACGCATACTGAGCGACGTGGTTCTATATTTGGCGCTTCTCTTACACATGCTTTGTACAAATGTTATACATTTCATCTTATAGAAAATTTTATTGCGAACACATTGGTATAAAAAAGAAATACGTACATAGAAAAGTAGGGTCAGGAAACGTATAAACTTTCCAAGCATGATTTCCCCCCTGTGTTTTCGCCAGTGCGCTCGCGGCTAACTACTCTCCACTTCACACTCTCTTGCGGGTGGGCAATTACCTATATTAAACATTTATATGCATATGTCCGTGTAGAGAATTTTATTGCGATTCCAATGATACCAAAATTAGCGATGTAGGACAACTGTAGGCTTCGCAACCATCAAGAGAGTGGAAACATTTTGTTGCTGTTTGGCGATCTCGGCGAGTGATCTGCATAGTTTTTTATTTGGTGTTGATACTCCTTATGCTTGGGCGGCATTTTATAGGTATGCTATTATAGACAATTGCATTGCGAACACAGTGATACCAAATTTAAATACGTGCGCCTTCAATTATTGTCAGGACAGTCAAAAGAGTGTACACTTTTTCGGTCTTACCGCGTAGGCGCGCGAAGTGCCGAAAGCATCTGGGGTATTGTTTTTTTTGAGCGCCGAGAGCGCGAAAGTGTTAATAACTTAGGTATACACAACAATGTTCTGCTACCCTATTCTATATGAAGGATTACAAAGTGTAAATAAAAACCTAGACTTGATCTAATATTCTCATCTCACAGGATGGTTAGTCATACATGGAATCAGGAGAGAACATGAAATGTGAGGCTGATCTATTAGCCTCCACTAGCAAAATCTGGGTACAGCACAAGAATATCTTCCAATGTTCCTAAATGTATGAAGTCGTTACAGAGCTCAGAGTACCTCATACCATTTGTGCTGAAATCATCGATTGCAGGGCAATCACAGATATAGTGTTGGAGAGAATGTCCTAGTTCTTGTTCACATAGTTTACAACTGGAATGTTCACCATTGGGGAATTCATTGCCTGCAGCCAACTGCCATAGATATTGATATTCTAGCCTAATTCTGGAAATTACAATGTCACACTATCTAATGGATGTTCTGTGCAGCCTGTACATATAGTTCTAGGTTCTAAACATATCCTAACACTTTATACTCATGCTTTCTGACCTCTGAGTGTCAGTGACTACTCTTCTACCATCCCTAATTTCCTGAAATACTGCAGCTTTTACAACAGAGATTGGTCCAGATAAACAGATTCAACCCAATAATCTCTTTCCTGTAAATTCTCTGTGGCTCTGTCATAAAAACTAAGTATTGTAATGTACATTTGTTGCACAGGAGCTTCCTGTTCGAAAGCCATTCTGTTTGTCTTATTGCATTATTTTTTCCCATGTATTCTGCCCAATTGGTTTTAACTTTCTTCTTGAGTTTTGACTACCACAGATGTCAATGATACGGGCCTAAATTTAAAGGTTTTTCTTTAGTAAAATTTTTGTAAAGTGGAACTAAGTTAGTCTTATTCTGTATATCTGCTAAGATTCCTGTACATAAAGATATATGAAAAATTAATTGAAGTGGAATGCTCAGCTCAAGTAAGTAAGTAAGTAATTATCAAAAGAAGGCACCAAACCGGGAAGGCTATGTAGCACCATCAAATACGCAAAATAATCAGAGGGCACTAAATATCACCAAGGATGCCAATACGAGAACAAAAACGCATAAGGCGAACGATATCAAAAGTATCCGAGTCACCAAGAATTCTATCGAGGGACAGGTGACCGCGAGGGGCGGTCGGAAAGCAAGACACACGCTCGTCCTGGAAGTCAGGACATTCAAGAAGGACATGCACGACCGTAAGAGGGACAATGCAACTAGGACAATAAGGAGCAGGGCGGCGCTCCATCAAGTAACCATGGGTAAAGCGAGTATGGCCAATACGCAACCTCGCCAGAGCTGTTTCCCACCGCCGGTTACGGTGGAAGGAGGACGGCCACGAGGAAACACAACATTTAAGAGTACGTAGCTTGTTACCAGTAACAGACAACCAAGAAGCCTGCCAACGGGTAAGGACTGAGGAATGGATAACCGGGTAAAAGTCGGAATACGGAATGCCTTTATGAGAGATGGGACAAGAGCGGACAGCTTCCTTGGCGGCAGCATCCGCACGCTCATTTAAAGACACACCAATATGGCTGGGAACCCAACAAAACTCAACCGACTTAAATTTACTGTGAACAAGAAACAGCCAATGCTGGATCTCGACAACTACTGGATGAACCTTCCTGTCCTGGAGAGACAGGAAGCCAGTGTCAACATACAAGCTAAGGATGGGAGTCGAACGAAAGGCACCAGAACTGAGGCGCAACCCAGTATGGTGCAAAGCATCAAGACGGCGAAGAGTAGAAGGAGAAGCAGACGAGTAAGCAGGGCAACCATAATCGAGCTTAGACAGGACGAGAGAGGAATGTAAAGCAAGGAGAGTGCGCCTATCTGCCCCCCAAGAAGTATGGGACAAGACCCGAAGGAGGGTAAGGGCCTTAGAGCACTCAACATGGAGGTAAGAGATATGGGGAGACCAAGACAAACGAGTGTCAAGGAATAACCCCAAAAGCTTCGCGGAATCTTTGTATTCAAGGGGATGACCATAAAGTGACAAAGAGGGACGAAGAACAACCCGTTTCCACGTAAAAGTCATGGCACAAGTCTTAGAGAACTTGAAGCCATGATCTGTGGCCCAAGACGACACGGCATCAATTGCAAGTTGAAGCCGGCGTTGAAGGAGAGGCGAATCATCACCCTGACAACAAAGGGTAAGATCATCGACATAGAGAGTGGAGAAGACACCAGAAGGAAGAGAGGAAAGAAGACCATTGAGGGCAACCAGAAAAAGAGTAGTGCTCAGGACACTACCCTGGGGCACACCTTCGTATTGCTGAAAAGAGGGAGAGAGCGCGGTACCAAGGCGCACCCGAAAGGAACGGCGAGAGAGGAAGCTGCGGAGAAAGAGAGGGAGATGACCACGAAGGCCAAAAGAATGAAGTTGAGATAGGATATGATAACGCCAAGTGGTGTCGTAAGCCTTTTCCAGGTCAAAAAGGACGGCAACAACGGAGGTCTTCGCAGCAAAAGCAGTACGAATATAGACCTCCAAGTTCACCAGGACATCTGTCGTGCTGCGGCACTTGTGGAAACCAAATTGAGAAGGGGAGAGGAGGTGATGGTGTTCCAGGAACCACATCAGACGAACGTTAACCATACGTTCAAAGAGTTTGCAGACACAACTTGTGAGAGCAATAGGGCGAAAGTCCTTAGGGGAAGTACCCAGAGACCCCGGTTTGCGAACAGGGAGGACAACGGCATCGAGCCAGTCCTCAGGGACTGACGACGACTCCCAGATCCGATTATACAGACTCAGTAAATACTGAGACGTGCTCGGAGGGAGATGGCGAAGCATCTCATAATGAATACCATCGGAGCCCGCCGCCGTAGAACCGCAGAGGGCCAGGGCAGAACGAAGTTCAGAGAGAGAGAAGGGATCATTATAGGGAAGCTGAAGATGAGTGCAGAAATCTAAAGGACGAGACTCAAGGACAGGTTTACGAAGAAGGAAAGATTGGGGAAGATGAAGACCAGAGCTAACAGAAGAAAAGTGGGAACCCAGTTCGGAAGCGACCTGCAACGGGTCCGCCACAAGAGTATCATGGAGGTGAAGGACCGGTGAAACATAGGGAACGAACTTACCCGCTATCTTGCGGATACACTTCCAGATCTGGGCCAGAGGGGTTTCGGACGTAATTGTTGAGACATAAGATGCCCAACATTCACGTTTAGCCGTACGGATGGCCCTACGGGCCACCGCACTCGCTTTCCGAAAGAAAAGAAAAGAATTGGTCGTCTGCCTACGGCGGTGCCTCTTCCAGGCTGCACGCTTACAGCGGACAGCCCGAGCACAGTCCGCATTCCACCAGGGAACGCACTTCCGTGGACCCCGAGAGGAAGAGCGAGGAATAGAGCGGAGGGCAGCGTTGAAGACAGTGTCATGAAAAAGGAGGAGA